CCCCCCCCGGTGAGCTCAGTACTCATTTACCAATCTCAGAAGGATGGAAGGCTGAATCAACCTTGAGCCAGCTATCTGAATCCGTTGGGATTAAACTCAGGTTGTGGGCAGAAGCTTGACTGAAGTATTCCAGTTGAACCAATGTGCCATGGTTGACGGAGCAAATGTGTTTTCTCCTGCTCTCGAAGAAAAGGGTCTGAAGCAATGGGTTCAAATTATGATAAAGGAACAATTCTTAGATGTTGCAAGCTTTTCTCCTGCAGAGCAAACAGCCTTGGAAGGACTCAGAGGCCTTCATTACAGGCATTTACAGAAGAAACTGGATGGCTTACTATGAGCTATGGTGTAGCATTGGATTTCCTACACCGGCAAGCAATTGAGTTGAAATATTTATGATGTTCTTTCCCATTTATGGCCTTGCAAGCCTGCTATTGAATCTGTATGATTTTGATGTAACCTGCCCTATAAACTGAAGGATGGGATGTCAATCAGCTAAGAGGTGGCATAAGAGCCCTGTGGTGCAGTGGTTAAACTGCAGTACTGCAGTCAAGCCTCTGCTCATGACCTGAATTTGATCTGGATGGGCTCTTGCAGTCAGCTCAAGGGTGACTCAGCCTTCCATCCTTCCAAGAATAGTAAAATGATTAGCTAGCTTCCATAGGGTAGGTTAGTTCAAGGGTGACTCAGCCTTCCATCCTTCCAAGAACAGTAAAATGATTAGCCAGCTTCCTTAGGGTAGCATGGGGGCAAGATATTTGCATAATTATGCTGCAAACCAGCCAGAGAGTGTGCTCTAAAAACTATGGGGTGGTACGTAAGTTGAAACTACAACAGCAACAACAGAAGGGGCAACTACTAGATGAATCATTAAATGAATGAATGTAGCAAGGGGAATCAAAGTTCTTGGCATTTTTGGTAAACTCTTGCAGGGGCAGAAAGAAAATGATCAAAATAAATAAATTAAAACATTGTATTGACAATGTTGTCTTTTCAGAGGTGGGGGAAAAAATCCAAAATTCCTGAGTAACCCAATGTTAAGAACCAGTGAACTAGATGAATCATTAAATGAATGAATGCAGCACGGGGAATCAAAGTTCTTGGCATTTTGGGTAAACTCTTGCAGGGGCAGAAAGAAAACCATCAAAAGAAATAAATAAAAACAATTTATTGACAATATTATCTTTTCAGAGGTGGGGGAAAAGAAAAGTAAAAGCCCAAGGTGAGTAACCCAATGTTAAGAACCAGTGAACTAGATGAATCATTAAATGAATGAATGCAGCACGGGGAATCAAAGTTCTTGGCATTTTGGGTAAACTCTTGCAGGGGCAGAAAGAAAACCATCAAAAGAAATAAATAAAAACAATTTATTGACAATATTATCTTTTCAGAGGTGGGGGAAAAGAAAAGTAAAAGCCCAAGGAAAAACAGCAACAGGAAGTTGCTCTGCCACTACTGTGTAGTCTTAATTAGTGCAAAGCTGCCTTCCATGGCTTAATCAAAAACTCCCCCATGGAACATGACGTGGTTCTTTCCACCCTCCAATTCTCTGGTGTGCTTTCAAGGGATAGAAGTGGGCAGATCGTGCCACAAGGAGATGCAGAGGAGGGACCTGAATTGGAATTCCAACTATCTCACCAATTTGGCGATCTCAGTTCTGGGCACACAGTTTAGAGTCGGTCCAACATCTCATCCTGGGAAGAAGGTAAGGCCATAAGCATGTATGGGGTGTCTGGTTCGAAAAGGGGCATCAGTCATTTCATCAGTATTTTAAATGATGGTGGTTTAGCATGCAAATAACATCTTGCTTCTTTATTTTGTGGGTCTCCACAGTTTTCTTTGTGAGGAAGCTTCTAAAACAGGAAGGTGAGGCTAATGGTGAAATGTGGCTTGTATGAGGCCAGGCGAACATTAACAGTGTAGATGATGTAGAACAAAAAATAGCTCTGGAGTATCATCATACTGGAAAGATCTGATCCAGTGAGAGAAAGAATGTTGGGTTGGGACAAGGAAGATCTGGTTTTAAACTCTTTTTGACCCATAAAATTAACTGGATTTCATTTCCTCAACTTGGCCAGTCTTGCAGGACTATTGTGTAAATGAGGTGTGTTAGAGGAAAGACACACATACTGCCTTGAGACTTTTCGAAGAAATTTGGCCCATCGATGCAGATACTACCTAAAAAGCCAATGTAATCAACAAACAGCTTGTAAGCTTTCTAGAAATATCTAGAAATGTGAGAACTGTAATACTGGATTATATCAGTGGTTCCCAGCCTTGATTGCTCAGGTGTTCTTGGATTGCAGTTTACAGGAATCCTAGCCAGCACAGCTAGTGTTGATAACTTCTGGGAGTTTTAGTCTAGGAACATCTGGGGAGCTAAGGTTGGGAACTACTGGACTAGATGATTCAGCAAGATGGGGGGGCTTTCAGATGATTTATTTCATCTGGGGAGCTAAGGTTGGGAACCACTGGACTAGATGATTCAGCAAGATATGGGGGGCCCTTTCAGATGATTTATTTTAGATGAGTCAGTCTGCCTCATTCAGGAAATTTTATAGTGGAGGGGGAAATTACTCCATCTCCAACTTGTGAGCTTCTGTTTTCTTACTGCTTGTTTTTCTCCTTCCTGTTTGCACAACAATTGTGTGATGCCTTTTCCCTGGATGGCTTTCCCATCTGGAATAGTGGCCCACAACTTTTTGCTTGGAATGTGAGCTTCCAGTCAGTATGGCCAATAGTCAGGGATTCTGGAAGGTGAAGTGTAGCAACCTCTGAGGACACACATTTAGGAACCGCTGGTGTTGAAGGTCCTATGAGATCTTCCAGATGTTCTTATATTTTCAGCTTCAGGTTTTTTACTCTCAGGTTTAAATCAACATTGCCCACTGGATCCATTGAGAAGACTGCCACCCAGTCTTTCCATTGGTATGACTTTCTCTTTATCAATTGACTGACTGCAGGTCTCTAGCATCTCAAGACACTGCTTCTTATTTCCACCAGGTAAGAATGGTCCCCTGGGGCTTGGACGTTGTGTTCGTCTGCTTCTTCTTGGGCCTGACCAAAGAAGGTGAGGATGTTCCTCAGGAGAAAAGAATATAAGAAGAGACATTCTGCATCTGGAGTTCAGAAACATGACTTTTTTGAATTACACTTCCAGGATGCTTCAGTTAGCATGGCTGATGAGGGTTATGAGCCAGAAAGAAACTTCTCCAAACTCTGAAAATCTCATTAGCACCTCAATCTGGGATAACAATAATATTGATAAATTATTTAAAGAACAATTTGTTGAACTTTCATGATACTAAAAATCAGCTGTCTGAGGCAATGTTCTCACTTCACCTGATGACAGGGCCCACAGCAGAAGTGTCATGAAAAAAACAGACATCATGATGATCATCATGATTATGATTACCATCATCATCATCATCAGTGACAGGTGCTAGTGGGATGCAGACAACTGGCATCATGATAACCTGGATGGCCTTGAGTATTGCGTGTGTCTGAGTGGCAAGGCTGGATTGAGACCTTTAGATCCTAAACACTCAAAAGATTATGGTGCTTCCTACGAATAAAACACATGGCAGGTCCTACAGCTTGGGAAAAACCCCAGATAAGGCACACATTATATGCATGAAAATAAAGTAATTTAACTGTATAGCATGTGGCAAAAAAGAACCATGTATCATATGCAAAAATCACATGTACTGTCAAATTACTGGCTTCCAGCCAAATCTTGCTTGCGATTGATGCTTTGATTAATGTAGACATACTGTATTTTGTCAGCATCTGTAAAGTGAAAGGCTCAAACAAGAGCTTAAAAGCCCCTTTTGGGGTGTTTTTAACAGTGGCTGTTATTTCTTTGGCTTGCACTTATAGTGCAGAGGGCATGGGTTGAAAAGAAGTCAAAGCAAAAAAAAGTGATGATGATAATGATTAGCATTTCACTCAAAACATGAGTTTTCTTCCTAGGTGAGTCTTTTATCCTTTTCAGTTTTTACTGGTTCCTATTAAATTGCTTTAGGTAGGGGGGTGGTTTTCTCTGGGCTCTTGAGGGAGGGAGGGAGAGAATGGAGGGATCTGGATGGATGGATGTGGTTTGTTAAGGAGGGTGCGCCCTCATTTACACCATGGTCCATGGTAAAATTCTCTGTGAAAAAAACTCTGTGGTGCCCCTTCCCTTGTTGGTGCCCTAAGCATTTGCTTATTTTGCTTAATGGTTAACCCGAGGCTAGGGAGTGGGTGTAACATTTGGCCTTTTGTCTAAGATGGCAAAATATTTTCCTTGCATGCTGCATCGCTCCTAGATATTTGTGGGAGTCAACGATGGGTGTCTCCTGGTGCTAATTTTGATCCTGGCAATTTTAAACCATTCTGTGATTTTCTTCATTTTAAAAATACCATCAGCTGAACAGAAAGGGAAAGTCTTACTAAGGTCTTGGAGGAAACAGATCCTCTTGGAGAGAGCACAGCCATCATCTTCATTCCTGTTTTGGGTCTCCTAGGACACGCAGGAAACCCACAGCAGGCGTTTCGGGTGGAACCAGAGAACACCACCGTCCACGAAGGGGAAACGGCTCTGTTCACATGTGAGGTGGACCACCTCTCTGGCCTTGTGCAGTGGGTGAAGGACGGGCTTCTGCTGGGTCCCGATGAGAAAATTCCAAGGTTCCCACGCTACAGCATGGTGGGAGATCTGAGCAAAGGTGAGCAGCTCCCTATTTTGGGGCAGGAGGATGAAATCAAGACTATCAAATACAGGAGGGTGGAGTTACATTAACCCCTCCAAGCCCAGCGCCCTGCCCACCCACCCCCTTCCAGGCCACATCCTACCACATTACTGCTTCATTGCTCGGCTTGTCACTGCAGTGGTGACAGCAAACATCCCCATAATCTCCCTTTAAAACAAGACATGTGGGAAGCACACACCTTGTTTTGAAGCTCTGGTGTTCTTTTGGTGTAGGATGCAGCTAAAAAACATGTGATCTCCTTGCACACCTCGCTTTGAAGAAAACTCATAAAGTGTCCGCCAGTGTTAGGGTGGCCAATGTAGTGGTAGTAGTGGGGAGCAGCCTCCCCACACACACCAGCAAAACCAGCAGGGATACTTGCCTGAGTTGTTCACCCTTGAATGTGGGGCAGGTACGTGACCCTGTTTTGGCATGCCACTCCTATTGAACTCTTGCCAACCAGGTTTTCTGGGGAGGCTGATGGGAAAGAAGTAAGGGAGAAAAAGGGCTGGAGGCTATTTCCAAGCTTTGCTCAGTAATCTTGAAAGCTAGAAACTTGGGCTTTTATACATTGATAAATGGAATTCTTGGGGTGCCAAATTCTGCACTAGAAAGCAGATTCTGAGTCAATGGAGTAAAGCTATGCTTCTGGAGAATACATAGATGGGCAGTTTAGAGGAGACAAGACAGAATAAATGTTTTCCTGGTTGAGGAGACAGAAAAGCAGGTCTTCCGACATCTATCACCCAGCTAGCCCAGAGCAGGATTTGTAAACATCGCCTTCAAAGAGCAAATACGGTCCAATGACAGGGAAACAATTACTTAGGGTTTCTTACTGTAATTAGAGCCACAGTGGTGTAGGATTGAGGAATGCTGGCTTGGAATTTTAGAAATCTGTTCTAATTCTCACCGAGGCATTACACTCAGTGGGCAATCTTGGACCCATCTTCTTCTTTCAACGTGACCTACCTTACAGGTTTGTAAGAATAATGTGGGGAGAGGAGAGCCTTGTATACATCCAGGAAAGGAAAGATTGAGAAATTTATAGATAAAGGCTACAATCCTATTAGTTACGTCTGCTGGTGTAATGCAAGTAGTATACATTTCTATTGTCAAATTCTACCAAGTTGAGAAGTTAGGGTGGCTCTTTGTTTTTGTGAGCTGAGTCACATGATTTGGCACCAAACAGCAAATGCCTACACCCCCTGTTTCCTAGCCTTAGGTCCCCAGATGTTCTTGGACTACAACTCCCAGAAATCCTGGCCAGGACAGCTAGTGGTGAAGGCTTCTGGGAACCACTGGCCAACACTAACTTCTTAATTTGTGGCAAGATTTACATCAGTTGTGTCACACCAGCATGAAAACTCAGTAAAATTTTGTTCCATAAATAATTGTGTTCTGATGCTTCAGGCCAGTATCATCTTCAGATAATAAGGAGTCAACTGGAAGATGATGCCACATATGAATGCCAAGTTGGGCCCTCAGAGACAAGTGCCGGCCTCATCTCTCGCAGTGTGCAACTCACCGTGCTTAGTAAGTACCAGAGGGGAGTCTGAGATAAGCGTTGCACTACTGTTTTCGTAAGAAAATCAGAAATACTTCCTCCTTCTCCAAGATTCCTTAGCTTAGTTCAATGGTCACAGTATACCCACCTCGTCCTCCCTCCTTCTATTGCTATCCAAAACTCCCTTGGGTGTCGTTGGTCTGGGGCCCTGTGCTTACACTGGGGGGGGTTTGAAACCAGGAGTAAATGGAGGCAAAACCAAAGTGGATCACCTCTTTTATCTCCTATTTCTCTTGCTGCATTCTCTCTTTTCTGCCTCTCCCTTTTCTCTGTTTCTCTTTCTATGACTTCTTTCTCTCGTGTCTGCCATCACCTTTCTTTCTGTGTCCTCATGTTCTCTTGCTTCTCTTCTGAATCCTCTTTCTCCCTTCCTCTCTTTCTCCTTTCTTTTCACTAGCTCCCATTCTCTCTTCCTCCTGTCACCCCATTTCTGTCTTCCAGTCCCTCCTCCCTCCCTCTCCCTCCCCACTTCCCACAGGATGCTGCAGGAGAGTCATGTTACACGCTTCAGAAATTTTAAGACATGAAAGTGATTTGGGGTGGGATGCTGGTGGGTGTAGAAGTGAAGAAGGCAAAGTATCCCTAAGTCAGCAATCTTCATTTGCTTCCCTCTCCTCCCATACAGTTCCCCCTAAGAGGCCGCTCATTAGGAAATATGAAGCCAACAGCACGGTGACTTGGGTGGCTGGAATGGAATACACAGTGCATTGTGAAGTGACAGGTGCCCGGCCTCCAGCTGAACTCACCTTCTACGCGGGTAAGGAAATGGCCTCCAGGACCCCTATTCCTTCCTGTCTGAAGGTGGACTACATTTCCAACATGCTCACCACTTTTCTGAGCAAGGAAGGATCCTGGAGGCAGTGCTGCGTTGCTAGGCAAAGTTTTCTTTGTCCAAGAGAGCTTCAAGATCTCATTTGCACATCAAGCAGAGTGGGGTGATCTCCTCCAGCAGCAGATGTGGGTTATTGTCCTAGAAGAGGGCAGTGTGGGATGTGGCACAATGTGGGATAGGAGACCTGCAGTGGGAACTCTCAGCTAGCTTGCTGCCTTCAGCTGGAGCAGAAAATGCGGTACCATCATCAGTGTTGGAAAACACTCTCGACAGACAGTCCAGAGGGCACTGTTTTGTCCTTTGCCTTAAAGAGCAAAGCATCTCGTGCCAGCCCTGAGAATCCAAGAAGAGAAGGCCAAAGTTAAAAAAAGATCTCAGTGAAAACAATAAGCCAGCCTCCATCGCTGCACCCCGATTTTTAGCAGTCGCCACCTAGAAATGTTTAAATGCACCCTGAAAGCAGCAGAGACTGTCCGCCATGCACCATCTGCCCAGATCCAGTCTTATATCTTCCCGCTTATGATTGCAGACAAAAGTGTTTTAAAAAAATAAATGCACCCTGAAAGCAGCAGAGACTGTCTGCCATGAACCATCTGCCCAGATCCAGTCTTATACCTTCCCGCTCATGATTGCAGACAAAAGTGTTCAAAGAAACACTCAGAACCCTCAGTGTTTAGTGTTTAGTCAAGACTCTCGCTGTTGATATTCATTTCTGGGAAAAGAAGGTGACATGGTGGGGTTCTGCCTCAGGCCTCAAAAAGTGTAGGCACCGTTAGGTGCAAGTAATTGTTTGCATATTATTCTCAAGGACCCCATCTTCCTTTATGAGCCTGCCCTGGTGTTAAGATCATCAGGAGAGGCTCTTTGCTTGGTTTCACCACCTTCACAGGTGTGTTTGGTGGGGACACGGAATAAGACCTTCTTTGCCGTCCTTCCTAGACTCTGGAACTCCCTCCCACAAGAAGCTAGGCTGGCCTCATCTTTGCTGTCCTTCTGCATCTGGCAAAGACCTTTCTCTTCAGGCAGGCTTTCTCTTACTGACCGGCTGTCTGGGAGGGGTTTTTTAATGGAATGCTGCTGTCTGAGAGGGGTTTTTTAATGGAATGCCGTATCTTGTTGCTTTGAATATGCTTTGGCGTTATTATTATTTTTTTTTTACTGTTTTAATGTGACATTTGTTTGATTCTTTTGTAATGTTTGTATACTTAATGTTTTTAGCTTTTAAAGAGTATTGTATACTTAATGTTTTTAGCTTTTAAATAGTAGCTTCTACTGATGTAAGCTGCCTTGGATACTTTTCAAGGGTTAGGGTAAAAATATTTTATGTCAATCAATCAATTTATCTATCTATCTATCTATCAATAAAATATCCATTTTAGAAAGTTTTATTTTATAGGCTGATAACAAAACCAATATATGATATGTTTAAGAAGAAGAAAGAGTACAAGATGGTTTCAATAACTGAAGGACTGAAAATTAATGTTGACAATTATTGAAATAAATGCCAAAGATTAATATCAAAACTTATGTCAATCCCATGAAGGGAACCATTTCTGAGGGCTAGTAAGGGAATGTTAGTCTGGTGAATTTATCTTCTTCATAATCATCTTTTCTTTTTCTCTAGGTGACAATGAACTGAGAGATGTGACATCTCAGATTCAGCCTAGTTCTACAGATAAACTTTTTGACACTGAAGCTACCTTGAGGTGGGAAGAGTCCTCTAGAGGCCTCCATGTTTAGGGCAAAAACAGTGATGAGGCTAACAGTTTCATCTCCTACAGTGGTGCCTCGCTTAACGACGATAATCCATTCCAGGAAACTCGCCGTTAAGCGAAAACATCGTAAAGCGAAATAAAAAACCCATTGAAATGCATTGAAACCCGTTCAATGCATTCCAATGGGGTAAAAACTCACCGTCCAGTGAAGATCCTCCATATGACGGCCATTTTGCTGCCTGTATAGCGAGGAATCCATCCCTAAACACAGCGGGGAGCCATTTTAATTACCGGTGGCCATTTTGAAACAACCGATCAGCTATTAGAAAAACATCATTTTGCGAAGAATCGGTTCCCGAAGCAGTGAACCGATCATCGCAAAGCGAAATCCCCCCATTTAGACCATCGTTTTGATAGTTGTAAAGCGGATTTGTCGTAATGCGGGGAAATCATAAAGCGAGGCACCACTGTATATGTTCCACTTCCTAACTGGTGATGTGTTAAGCAGGTTGGGAGCCTGACAGTTCAGCAAAAAGTATATTGGCTATGGATGTGGAAGACCAACATTGAGATCTCACCTCATACATGAATTCTTTGCATGACTTCCAGTTGAGAGGAACCAACTTGATAAAACTATTGTAGGGATGAATTTGGTAGCATGGGAAAAGTATTTTGTGCCTTTAATTTTATCTGAACAATTTTCTCTGTGTGGGTTTCATAGCCCTAGATTGTGCATTAGCCCCAATTTGGAAACTGTATTTTTAAAAACATTTTTTGTCCTAGTTTAGCACTACAGCTATACCTAGTGCTACATAGCACTAATTCAAATGCTTACCATGTCTTGTCTGTTAGTGCTATTTCACTTGCTAAACATTAAAAAAAGAGAGAGAAGGGATTTGAATGCTAGCGAAAGAGGTAGATAAGAGAGCAATGACCACGTTCAGAGAATAGTGAGGAGCAAAAAGGGCTCTGTGGTTTGTGGATACTTGAAACACACGTTCCTTAAATAATTAAACATTTCTGTGTGAATGGAAGTAGCTATTTAAATGCCAGATTGCAGTACAGAGACTTTTTTTTTGTCAATCCAGGACAAACCTCTGTGTGGTAAAGATTTGCTGAGGAGGGACCTGTTAGGAATTTCTTAATATCTAGGGCCAGGCTGGGGAATTGCTTTCAAATCAAGGGAGCTATTCACTTTTAGGGAAGCTTTTAGGAGCCATATCAAGCTCCAGTGATGAGTGGTGCCAAAGACCCAAGGATGAGACCCCAATACTAGTATATTTTGACTTAAAATTCTTACCCCACCTATGAAGCTTTAAGAGAGGCATGTCAATATTGTCGAGCCAGAGAAAAAAAACTCTACAATCACTGGGATGATACTCAGAGTCATGATGAAGTTGGTGGGACTGCTTGAGGAATCCAGAGGACCAGAAATGGATCCCAGATAGGCAGGATCCAGCTTTGGGACCTCATGACCTTGTCTGTGGTCAGTACCCAATACCAACAGTGAATTCCTCCTAACTACTGCTTTGCTGTATTTCAGGATCACCGCCAAGAGCACAGACAACAGGCAACAGCTGACATGTAGAGCCTCCAACGTTGTTGCGTTAATCTCAGTGGTGGTCGGCTTTACCATGAACGTCCAGTGTAAGTCTGCACAGAAATGCTTCGTCAGACTTTTACCGAGAGGAAGGTAACATCATTATAATAGCTGCTAAGTGCCCGAGGAGACGGCTTTATTACTGTCTTAATAAAAAACAAACACAGAAGGGAGTGGAGTGGGGAGAAGAATTAAAAAAGAGGGAGAGTGGAACGTGGGGGAGGAATGGAGAGCGCTCACCCAGGGCACTCGCAATAAAAGGAAATGGAGACAAGAGACTTGGCAGAAGAGAAAGCAAACAGAGGAGAATAACCCGGGGAACATGAAAGATAATAAATGGTTTGGAGACTACTTTTTTTTAAAATGAGAGAAGGTGTGATGGAGATGACCTACATTGGCTAGATCTTTATGGCTTGGTCAGCTTAACCACCCAAATGGCCTGCTTCTGGCACCTAAAAAAAGAAAACTGCTTTGTAAACAGTCTGTTTGATTGGATGTGGATGCATTTCATTTCCGCTGTGGATCAGCATTTGCCCTCCGAAGCAAAAGCCTCAAGCTGCCCTGCTTTTATCCTATTATTTTGATTATGCTCACTGAATTTCTGAGTACACGTTGAGCCCTTTAGAGCAGGCCTGGACACTGGAACAGAGGAAGAGAGGATGATGGCATATGCCGAGTCAGCCTTTTGGGCCTTCTCGTTTAGGGTTGTCAGCATCGACTCCAGCAGCTCTCCAGAGTTTTAGGCAGGACTCTTTCTTATTCATACCTGAATATCCCTGGTACGGTATTCCCTGGTGGCTTCTCACAGCCCTGATCCTGCTTAGCTTCCCAAACCTGGCTCTTTCTCAAAATGGTATGTTGCAGAGACTTTGCTGACTCTCGTTTTCAAAAAAACAAAACAAAAAAAACTAAAAATAAGTAAAATCTGAGACCCAACGTTTGGAGAAGCAACCTTTTGGAATTCTAAGTCTTAGAACAACCCTCCCACCCCCCAAGCAGCATCTTAACTGTGACAGGATGTTGTCAATGTCAGAGAGCTGAACAAACTTTCTCGGACTCTCTTTGACAGTCCCACCCCAGCCGCCCATCATTGAAGGATACAGCGGCCCCATGGTAAAAGCCAAGGACAACCTCAAACTGACCTGCGTTTCTTTGAGTGGAAACCCTCTAGCGACACTGCAATGGCTGAAGGTGAGCATATGGGCTGGAGGATGCTTGCTGGGCCTGGAAGGTTCAGCATTGCTAGCTAAGTAGGCAGGCCCTCTGAGAGAACTCAGTTTGACTCCTGGGCCATTTTGCATAGTGATTCCCCCCCCCACTTCAACCTTGATGTTTGGGAAGAGGGGTGCAAAGCATTATAGTGTAAAGAATAGCATGTAATGTTTTTAATTTGCTGCAGAATGCATGCTAGTATAATTTGGGTGAGCTTTAACTTCAGGCACTTCAGATTTAAAGTGAAGGGCCATGCCCCTTTGCCTGATACGAGACCCCTCTGTGGGGTGAGGTCTGGGCCAAATAATCCTGCTGTCCTCCCTAACCTCCCCCCCATCTGTAGGTAGAAATCTGAGAATGGTCTTGTGGGTTGAGGCCAAAGGGCCAAACATGATTTCCCCACTTTTGTGAAAGTTTAATGTATATGCAAAATATGGGTGTCTATTCGTTATCCTTATTGTCTACTTGTTTTAGTACTCAAAGAACGACACACTTTTTTTAAAGGAACAAAAACCAATTTTTTGGGATGGGGTAGAGTGGCCACGATAGTCTGTTGCAGCAAAAGCCATGAAAAGTCTGGTGGCATTGTCAAAGATGTCCAAGTTTTATTTGGCCCAAGCTTTAACGGACTGCAAGTCGCTTTATCACATGCATCTGATGACGTAGGGCTGCAGTATGGGAAAGCTGGTGCTAAGCAAAACTTGTTCATCTTCATCATGCTACTGTTTTCTTTGTCTTTTCCACTGCAAAACCAAATCCAGAAAAATCACAACAGACTCAGCAAGCAGAAGGTAAAACAGTCTCTAAACTACTAATGGATCGAATTGTGTCAAAATAATGGTAATAAAAACAATGCTACAACACTTAACAGAGAACAGCTGACAATCCCTGACCTTTAAAACCACTTTGGATATATTTACACAGAACAGCAACATGATATTATTTATTGAGAATGACAACAGAACTGTAAACACAGGTCATTTCTACTACAGAGTTTTGAATTTGTGGTAAAATTCCCCTTTGCTGTACAGTAGAAATATAGAGATCCACAGGGTCGAATAGCTACAAATATCCCAGAGTTTACCCCTTTCTTATTAACTAGCAATAAAAGTCTCAGTAACTTACTCTGAGACATTTGCAGAATAGAAAATGTTTCTTTACTTACAGTTACTTGACATTACAGACTTGTGAATGCTGCTTTCTTTCCTGTACACATACTTAGCAACCGACTGAACAGATCAAGAGCAAACAAATAACTGCCGCCCGCAGACTAAAGAGAGGGAAAAGAACACTCAAGGAGGTTCTCAGGAGGGGCGGGGCTCTTTCTGAATTCAGGAACAATTGGTTAGTGCCAGATAAATATATAATCAGCCCAGAAAATTCCCTCCCAATCACATAAACTACAAATAGCATGCAAAGACGCAAATAAAAACAACAATTTTGGTACTGATGAACCTCCATGGAAAAATATGTACTTCTTGCTCTGAGCTTAGAAAAGTAACTTTGGGGACTATGTTTTCCTTAAATCTTCAACCGTCATGGCCACTGATGGGAGATTATGGGAACTGCCATTCAAAAATAGTTTTTGCAACCTCTGTTCTTGCTGTTACATTTGAGCATCTCTCAACAAAGGCATATGATGCTGGGTTGAATCACATTAGGCTGCAGCTGGCCTGCTGGCTGATCTCATTTATTGGTTATTGTTTAACAAAGGCCTTTTATAATCTCCGGAGCTGGCTGTCCTAATATATGTTTGCACTGCGGTAGGCCTTCCCCTCTTTTTCCTACTCTTTTTTAAAAATTAACAGCCTTAGCTGGGAGATTCACCCGAGGTGGTGGGGATAATTAAGAAAGCAGCCAAGTGTGGGCGGCTTAAACTGTTGAGAACCTGCCTTGAGTTGCCATTCTAAAAGACAGACAAGAAGCTGCAAGAGGGAGCTTCTGTACAAAGCAGAGAGAAGGGGGCTGAAAAGCACTGTCAGATGCTTACCCAGGCCCCTGGCCTGGAAGAAGCCTTGCTGCTGAAGCCCCATGAGATCCGCAGCCTTCTCTGCTTCCATTTCATTACAGCTTGTTTCCTTGTCCTACTAAACTAGAATGGTGCCTCGCTAGCCGATGATAATCCATTCCACTGAAATCGCTGTTTAGTGAAGTCATTGTCTAGCGAAATGCATTTCCCCAGTGGAATGCATTGAAACCTGTTTAATGTGTTCCAATGGGGAAGAATCGTCGTTGTCTAGTGAAGATCGGCTATCAGAAAGCCGCTTTGCGAACTGCCGCTCAGCTGTTTAAGCTGTCTTGTGAAGGTCCCGAAAACACCTGTTTTGTGAGTGCGGAGGAAGCTGTCAAAATCGTTGTCTAGCGAAAATCGGTTTGCGAAGCAGGGACCAAACATTGTCCAGCAAAATTCCCCCATAGGAATCACTGTTTTGCGAATTGCTGTAGCGATCGCAAAAAGTCAATGTCTAGAGAAAAAACGGTCATGCGGGGTAACTGTCTAGCGAGGCACCACTGTAGTGATTTAGTGGCAGTCCAGAATCTGAGCCTGAGAAGGTTATTTTCTTGGATTACACCCCCCAGAGTGACCCAGCTGGCATGCTTGCAGAAGATGGGAGATGTAGTCTTAAAAAATAATAATAAGCCTAGCATTTCCAGGCTTTGAACTGAGTTCATCTTCCAGAGCAGCTCCCTTCCCTGAGCCTGAAGGAGCTGCTGCTGCTGCTGCGAGGTCTCGTTTGATCTACTGTAGGAGGGGAAGAAATTCAAGACTATTCAGTACCAACTTAACTGCTGGGTTGGGTTCCCTTTCCCTTGTGTTCTTGCAAGAGGAAAGACGTTTGGTTGGGTATGCTTTTTTTTTTAACAGGACCCATTGTTTTGCATGGAAATCAAGCTTCTCCTCAAAAGGACTTTGAACCTGGCATTCGATACCACCAAGAATTTGATCCCCCGCCCTGCCCCCAGCAGAACCTCTGCTGTCCGGTGACCTTGCTTGGTTACTGGGTTTCTGTGCAGCAAATGCTTCTCACGGAGTACCACCTGGTGGTGATAATTCAGTTAGAAGCCAATGAGAAAGGAGTTTTGATGGATATTCCAAAAATTGTGGTATTAAATTTCTACGCCACCTACTTGACTTCTCTGACCTTTTAGGTCATTCCCCAGAAATTCCTTGGCTGCCAGAACCAACTCCAAAATGTCTTGCTCTTCTTTTGTGGAACCATGTTTTCTTTCGGCTGTAAGGACTTGCAAAGGATTGGTGTTGAAGGCAGTCTGGAAATTTTCTTCCCAGGTCCTCCAAAGGAGGGAGTGAAAACATTGGCTGAAAGCTTTTGCCGTTTGCTCCACTTTCATGTCTATTAAACTCTACTGGCAAAACCGTGGAACCTTAGAGGCAGCCAGCTGTTTCTGAAACACCAAGGAACCTTTTCTGCTCCTAATTGGCTCTAAGGCGGCCAATTAAGCACTGTTAAAAAGAGGAAACATATTATCAAAAAAGAGGACATGGATTTGCATAGAACTCACAGGTGTAAGCTATACTGCAGTAAGTATAATCCATCTCAACATGCAGGACAACACGACTAGGAGCAGTACCATGATTCCATTATTCAAAAAACAAAACAACAGCCACCTGTGGTTACATGATTCCATTATTCAAAAAACAAAACAACCACCACCTGTGGTTATAAATGTGGAATATTGTCCTTCTGCATCCATGGTTCCAAAATGTGGAATATTGTGCTTCTGCATCCATGGTTCCAGACACCAGGAACTGGCCTAATATTGCTGTACAACGTTAGGCCTGCATTTCCAGAAGGAAAAAGAATGCCAAACTTTACATAGCAAATGGAATGTTAATGACACCAATGGCAGCAGTTAAGATGGTCTACAGCAGTGGTCCCCAACCATTTTGGAACAGTGGACCAGTTGGGGGGAACAGGTTTTGTGAGCGGGGGGGCAGGGGCCCGTGGATGGGTGTGTCGCCCTCACAGATGGGCGTGTTGTGCCCATGGATGGGCATGTCATGCTTGCGGATGGACGTGTTGCACAAACATGCATGTGCATGAGAGCGATATGTCCTCATGCACATAAGCATGACACACACCCTGGAAGTGCAACACACTCACTGTGCATTCGGGCGTTTTGTGAGCGGGGGGGCAGGGGCCCGTGGATGGGTGTGTCGCCCTCACAGATGGGCGTGTTGTGCCCATGGATGGGCATGTCATGCTTGCGGATGGACGTGTTGCACAAACATGCATGTGCATGAGAGCGATATGTCCTCATGCACATAAGCATGACACACACCCTGGAAGTGCAACACACTCACTGTGCATTCGGGCGGTCTGGAGACAAACATGCATGTGCATGAGAGCGATATGCCCTCATGCACATAAGCATGACACCGCAAGTGCAACACACCCACTGTGCATGCGGGGGGTCTGGAGATCCATCTCTGCGGTCCAGTCCTGGGAAGCCCACAGACTAGCACCAGGCCACAGACTGGAGTTTGGGGACCCCTGGTCTACAGGATACCCACCTGTGCAGGGAAAAACCCAGAAGCTGATTAGTTTTTTAATCAGTTAAGCACTTCTAATCCAAACATGGTCCTACAGTGTGGGCCTGATATTGTGCAGCAATATCAGGGCATTTCCTGGCATTTTGAATCATGGATACAGAAGCACAATATCCTACATTCATAAACTGGAGGGTTTGTTTGTTTTGAAGAATTGATTTCCTTGGCTTTTTAAAAACAGAAGTTTAAGTATACATATACTAGACACAAATTCCAACAACAGCTTCACTAATGGAAATTTACCCAGTGCTAGAAGATCCCAGAAAATGATCACATGATCTGTACTAGAGTTGCTGGGGGAGGGCAGAACCAAGAACAGCTGGGATGTGGCTGCAGTCACTTCTGTGCCCAAATATTTTCAGGCCCTGTTTTGGACTTAATGAAATGGTGACACAAAAGTGTGAGTGATGGCAACACATACAACAGGCAAATCTTTAACCTCTCAGGTAAACTAATTGTTATTCCTGCTCCTCAGAATGCACTCTAGAGAGCTATCTTCCAGTTTCCAAACCCTCGCTGCTCAAACATGTTACTTACATGCTTTCCAAAAGATCTCTCCTCACCTTTGGAAATAAATAACTTTTTTAAAAAGAGCAGGGAGTGAGCAAAGGTTGTCACTTGAAGTCAAGGTCAAAATCATTCATATTATGTAAGAGATGCTCAGTGAAGTAAGACAGGGTCAAAAAGGAACTCATTTGAAATGTGGTGTTGGAGGTGAGCCTTACACAGCCCACCAGAAGCGCAAATAAGTGAGTGCTTAAACAAATCAAGTCCAAAATCTCACTAGAGCAAAAATGAGCAAATGAGTAAAGGCTACCCTGCCTTGCCCATATAATGAAAATACAGAACTGACTGGAAAAGAAAATATTTCTAGGAAGCAGGGACAGTAGGAAGAAATAATGACCTAACATGAGATGCAAATGTTTTTTAGTATCTGAACAGGATAATCTGAACAGTTAATGATAGGACATTTTGGATATCATTAGCTCCTAATATCACCACACATTAGTAGTGACTTGATGGCACATAACATTCTTGGAGTTTTTTTAAATTACCAACAGTTGTGATGTGACAAGACAGGTGGAATGGAGACTATGACTGAAGATATTATGACAGGAAATAGGCACCAAAGCACTGCTAACATCAACTAAGACCATCCCCTGCCACAAAGCCAAAAACAGTAATTTCACAGATTAAATGAATATTTAAATAAAAATTGCACAGCTTCTGAATATTTGTTCTGTATTCTTTAAAAATATATTTTATTAAGATATTTTCAATATTTGTATTTTAAAATGTTTAAGTAATGGTTTTGTGTCTCTGTTTTTACCATCAGACACAGAGTCCCCTTGCAAGCATGAGTCCTATATACCTGTTTGGGCAGGAAGGAGTTAAAAAGTTAGCTAAAAGTCAGCTAATTGGGTCCTGATTGACAGGGTCAAAAGTTCAGATTGCTTTCTCCTTTGAAAACATACCTGAGGAGGCTGTTTGGTCTCAGAAATCCTGAGAGAATGTTTACTGAAAGTGATAGAATAAAATAACAGCTACCTGTTTTTCTAAGGTAAGGCATAAGCCTTGCAAAAATGTATGATAATTCTCTGAAGATACAGTACATGGCAAAATGTCTCCGCTTCTGAGGACTGTTGCTCCATTACTTTCTTTAGAGCAAGCCCATGTTTTTTTAAAGCCTTTAAAGAAAACCTGTCTTTTGACACTGTTTCTGTGACCTTTAGCTGCTGTGCAACAATCCAGTATCTCCTTTCATCTGTGTACAATGTATGATTTCATGAATTTCCTGTACCATACATGTTCAAACAAAATCCCTGTTGTTCTTCTTTCATTTGAAAGGCTTTATTGAGGATCAGCATTTCAGCCCCTGCAGCCTGGATTCTTTCCAAATAAAAAAAGCAGCTGGGTCCCATAATTTTCTTTCAAGATAAGCAAAATTGGTTCTTTCAATTTAATGATCTATTTTAAATCTATGGGCATTTGAGATTGCCTATTTCTGAATGGGGGAAATAATTTTACTTTAAAAAAAAATCATAACTTGAAAACCCTTTGTCCAATCTTCCACAAATTTGGCACCTAGCTAGAGCAGACTGTCTGCTACATCTTTCCCAAATGTAGTGCTGATTTGAATCCCAGTTTAAAAGATACAAATTTTGTTTGGGTTGCCCCATTTTTGGAGTTGCCTTGTAGAATGTTGATTCCCTCTGCTGCACAGTATCATGGATGCACTCTTATGCAGCTATATTTAATGCTCAGTGATTCTAGGAGATGGCAAAAAACATATAAAATGCAAAAGGTTGAAAACCATAGAAAGAGAGGACATTTTTGGACAAATACGAAATGGGAACCATTCCTTTTGGAGCCCCCCCCCCCCCCAGTAAAGAGGTCTTTTTCAAAGAAAGTAGATTCCCATCCTTGGAATGGAGAATTGCCCTATGGTAAATCCTCAAGCAGAGGACTGTCCTCCTATATTTAATGCTCAGTGATTCTAGGAGATGGCAAAAAACATATAAAATGCAAAAGGTTGAAAACCATAGAAAGAGAGGACATTTTTTGACAAATATGAAATGGGAACCATTCCTTTTGGGGCTACCCCCCCCCCCAATAAAAAGGTCTTTTTCAAAGAAAGTAGTTTCCCATCCTTGGACTGGAGAATTGTCCTATGGTAAATTCTCAAGCAGAGGACTGTCTTTTGTAAAGTAGGGCACATGACCTCCTCACATGCCATTGCAAGGCTCATCCTCTGCTTCACCAGGTTCAGCCCCTCATTGCCCATGTGCCACCCATAGATTTTCAGGATCCTGACCTTTCATCTCTCAGCTGTGCAATTGTGTCTTACAGAATGGTGAAGTAATTTCCACTAACTGGGAGACAGATGATGCCAACCAGTTATCCAGGAGTTCCTTGAAACTCAGTTTGACCGCTGAAGACAACATGGCTGCAGTGAGCTGCCAGGCCTTGAATCAAGTAACGTCACATCCCCTTCAGGCCAGTATCAATCTGCATGTGGTTTGTAAGTGTATGTTTTGTCTTTCTACAAAATCATGGCTCTGTAGTTCCTCCTTTTTCCAGTTCTACACCGATCTTCCTTGCTACATCGATGTGAAAGCTCCTCCTCCAGGTTCTTTCCATACCTGGTCCCTTAATTTCTTGCCAAAGTTTCTTTTTCTGCCATAAAAATTCCAATTTGCATCTGGCTAAAGAGAGCTTGATTAGCTAGATTTTTTTTTTTTTTGCTTCCAATCAGATTGGCCAAAATCTAGTTTTAGATCACCATTATCAGTCTGAACATCTCAGATATTATTTGATTTCAGAAGTCAAGGAGGATTAAGCCTGGTAGACCACCAGGTAACATCAGGGCTCTCCATAGAAGGCTGTGAAAGAATCCTGCCTAAACCTCTGGATAACTCTTGTCAGTCATTTTTGGCAATATTAAGCCATATGCACCAATGCACTGGCCCAGTGTAGCATGTCCTATGTTCCTGTGTTCTTAATTGTTATGCTTAAAAAGAGGTTAAGGCTGGGGAGAAATAATACAAGGTGTCCCTTAGTTTTCTGCAGGGGTTCCTTATATTGCACAAGATGCATTATAATAATTATGTGTTTTCAAGTCAGTTCTGACTTATGGCCAATCTTTTCAAGGTTTTCCAGGAAGACAATACTCAGAAGTAATTTGCCATTTCCTTCTTCTGGAGGCACCGTGAGGCTGTGCAGCTTGTCAAAGGCCACACCGGCTCGCTGTACCCATAAGAGGCACAGTGGGGAATCAAACTCCCAACCTCTGGCTCTGCAGTGAGATACAGTGGTGCCTCGCTTAACGATTGCTTCGTTAAACGAGAAAACCACTATACGATGACTGTTTTGCGATTGCTTTTGCGATCACAAAACAATGTTTTAATAGGCAAAATCCGCTTTGCGATAGTCGGTTCCTGGCTTCGGGAACCTATTCTTCGCATTACGATGATTTTAAAACAGCTGATTGGCGGCTTCAAAATGGCCACCCGCTGTGTAAAATGGCTCCCTGCTGTGTTTTTGGACGGATTCCTCGCTATACATTCACCGAAAATGGCCGCCCCTAAGGAGGATCTTCGCTGGACGGTGAGTTTTTCAGCCCATTGGAATGCATTGAATGGGTTTTCAATGCATTTCAATGGATTTTTTTATTTTGCTTAATGAGGATTTCTCTCTACAGCGAGGCACCACTGTAACTAAAATACTGAGCTATCCAGCCAGCTATGATTCATTAGATCCATTAAAAAAACCTTTTTGAAAACCCCCCTTTTAAAAAAAAAAGTTGGTTCTTTCAAGCAGGGAGAAAGAAAAGCACTCTCTGAACTTTGAAAAAAAAAAACCCACTCTCAAACTCCATTATGGGGGTAGGATAGTCTTACACTGGATGATTTGTCTCTCTTCCCCACCCCGCTCTGTCTCATTTCTGGGTGGCAGTTCCTCCCGAACAGGTCAAGATCATTGGCTCAACCAGCGCTCAAGAAAACAAAGAGATCTCCGTGTCTTGTTCTACTTCCCCTAGCAACCCACCTGTGTTCCTGCGCTGGTGGCTTGGCTGGAGGGAGCTGAATGCCACCGAAGTTGCTAGTTCAGAGGTGGGTAGGCCTCCAGGTGGCAGAGGAACTGGTTTGGGAAAAATGGTTGCAATCTAAATTTTTTATGTAAACTGTTTAGGTCTTGGTGTTTTCTTTTGCCGTCTTGGGGAAAGGAAAGGCCGTGGATGAGGATCATTTCCTTTTGCAGGCAGCTCATGGCGGGATGATTACAGTCTCTAATTTGACATACGTTGCAAGCCGAGAAGACAATGGGCTGTCTTTGATCTGCGAGGCCTTCAATGAAGCCATCATGTATACCAAGAGTGCTACCGTGACGCTCAGAGTGACATGTGAGCATGATGAAGGGGATGAGGAAGGGTGGGTCACACATTGCCAGATGTGTATGCGACTTGTTTCCAACTTTTTTTCTCCAGTAACTTTATGCTCTCCCATCCCTTCTTGGTTGAATCTTGTTGTCTTTGCTCAGATCCACCACAGAAGATCTGGATCGATGTCCCGCCCCCGGAAACATGCTTTCGAGCTGGCACCAAAGTCAAACTCGCCTGTTTTGCCAGTGGGGGGAACCCCCCGCCTCGCCTTGAGTGGTATAAGGTACTGTGAATTGTGCTTTCCCTCCCTTATTTTCCTCCTTGCTTTTAAGCACAACAAGGGTCCTGTGATCTGGACCCAAACCTTTTAAATCACAACTCCTGGAATCCCAAAAGCCCATGAAAAATGTCTGAGTGATCCCAGAAATGCTCAGGAACAAGTAAATGTCATATATCTTTTAAAGAGTCTTATCTATCTATCTATCTATCTATCTCATTCATTCATTCATTCATTCATTCATTCATTCATTCATTCATTCATTCATTCATTCATTCATTCATTCATTCATTCATTCATTCATTCATTCATTCATTCATTCATTCATTCATTCATTCATTCATTCATTCATTCATTCATTCATTCATTCATTCATTCATTCATTCATTCATTCATTCATTCATTCATTCATTCATTCATTCATTCATTCATTCATTCATTCATTCATTCATTCATTCATTCATTCATTCATTCATTCATTCATTCATTCATTCATTCATTCAACTAATAATTAATTGATTGATTGATTGATTAACCAATAACCTTTGAACTGCAGAGCTGGAAGGGACCTTATAGGTCATCAAGTCCAGCCCCTGTCAAGGAGACCCAATGGGGAATCATACACTCAATCTCTTACTCCACAGCCAGAGACCTGAACCCCTGAGCAAGCACTATTCTGGGTGGTTCATGGGTTAAAATGTAAAACCCCACATAACTACATTTGAACAATATGGGGATACAGCATCCTATGGCTGTTGAAGGCAGCTTTGCAAAGCGACTTTTCCTGCTCTAGCAAGACTTACTTCACCAGCCCTTGGAGACAATTTTTGTATTAGAATGCCCTATGTTTCTTGCCACTGCAGGTGACCTGTCCCCACATGGTGGGAACCCCTGAAACGTGCACACAACACCAGAAGCAACCTCCTGGTCAGAGTGGGCTTCTGAAGCCGTGCACAGGGAAGCAAGTGAGTGTGACGTCTGAGTGACTGCTGGCACAACCTTAGAGAATGTAAATGGGCTTATAGACAAAGATCTTTGGGTTCCAGGTGGCTGGGTGGGGTGTCAGCATCCCAACTGCTGCTGACCAAGAACCTCCCCGGAATGCTGCCCTCCGTACAGTTCCAGCTACAAGGGGATTGCACGGTTTTTGAAACAATCGAAATCCTGCAGCCCCTGTTCCTGCACACACTACCAGCTGCGAATTCTCTTTCAAACTGCCTTTAGCTCTCTGACCTCCCCTCCTTGTTGTTGCAATCTCCCAATTCTGCCGTCTCAATAACAGGGACGGTGACATCTCCCACAAATAAACAGTGACCCTTCTGAAAGTGTCTCTTCGTGTGACAGGCAGATTACATCCAGTGGGGGTACCCTTGAAGCTTTGTTTTGTCACAGAGTGCTCTCTCCAGGGAGACGCTTTCGGGAAGGTCGTGGCTTTACCCTGGAAATGTCAATGAGCTGCCCTCTTGTCACCCTAGTCGTGCAGCCACCCTCTTTGTCTTCCTCCCCAACCTGATTGCCTCAGTGCTAAGGATAGCATAAATGGTCTGAAGCAGGTAGACTGACTCTGCCATCCCTTCACCATAATCTGGATTGCTTCTACAGGATACCAAGATAGTGAGGGATGGAACAACATCGGGGGCATCAGGGAATATTGTTTCCAAGGAACTGATCCTGACCACCACCGCCAGTGACAACATGGCCACCTACCGCTGCAATGCTACCAGTCATTCTCGAACCCCAGCACTCACCGCATACACCTTTCTGCATGTTCAGTGTAAGCCTCAACAGACTCAGTCTGCAGGACCAAGAAAACTGTATATGATATAGGCAGCTAGGCTGGAATAGCTCCTGGAATTGAATATACTTCCTTCAAGTCCCACAGGTGAAGGGGTAAGCCCTGAGACCATAACCTAGCGTTAAGTCTGCTTAACATCACCATTGGGTCTAGTCCAGCCATTGCTAGAACAATATTTCAAGTGTATTGCTCTGAGCTGGATAGTTTATGGTCAAAGACTTGACTCTGTGCAGATCTACTGGGAGCTATCCATGGTGCTGGTCTCTTCCAAGCTACCGTAGTTGGAACAACAATATTTCAAGTGTATTGCTCTGAGCTAGGTGGTTTATGGTCAACCTGGCTCTGTGCAGATCTACTGTGAGCTGTCCATGGTGCTGGCCTCTTCCAAACTACCGTAGTTGGAATCCCAAGAAATTCACAGCACATTTTACAGTATCACAGCATAGCACACCATGGCTAGAAAGCTAGTATGTCAGCCACAAAAACTTAGGGTATACATACAACCCTTCTCCCTGCCATAGTAGCTTTCCATGTGCAATGCATTTCTGGCATGGGGGAAGCCCAGGCAATTTCATACTTCAACTGTAGACAATAGTAATAGTACGGTGTAAAAGCAGAATCCCTTAAAGTGCTTGGAAGACATCCATTTGTCGCAGCACAAGATTTTCCTCCTCCTCAGCTTGCAAATTATCTGACTGTTTGGTGATTGGTCTTTGGGGGATAAACACAGGCTTCATTTGCAACTGTGAGTGGTCAGTTATGACAGCTTGCAGGATCTTCAAAATGGTGCTCTCTCTGGAGTCTGACTTTACCCTCCACTTTTTAAATGGTCGAGACCCTGAACGGCAGTGCCACCTCTTCACTCCCCTTGAAAGTTAAGCTGTGCCCTAAGAGTGAAGTGTCACAAGACGGCAGAGGCTATTGGTGGGAGAGTGCAATTATTCCTGGAAGTTTGGTACTTTTTGATCATGATTCTGTTCCACAGTCCCACCCCTCCAAGCAACAATTACTGTGACCGACAAGGTGGTGAAACGTGGCCAGTCAATGACTCTGACCTGTAAATCGGGAAGCAGCAACCCTCCTGCCAGACTCCTCTGGTTCAAAGACGGGAAGAAGTAAGAAATGCAATTGATCCAATGTCAACCTTGCACAAACTTTCTTTATGGCTCTGTGCCCTTCCAAAGGTGAGCCTGGGCAACTCTGATTGTCCAGAGGTCCATTTGCTCACCTGGAACTGATCACAGATGGCATCCTCCACTATATAACTAAAACTGGGCAGCAAACAACACTGCAAAACTGTGGTGTTAATTACCACCAACACCCATTAACATGACCCCCCAAAAATTCTTCAAAAATTGTAGTGCGTTAGTATTCATGGTTTTTCATCAGTAACGTGTGCAATCTCCTTGAGAGTAAGACTGTTCTGATGGGTTTAATGGCATTTAATGGTTTGCAACCAAATTTCAGCAGGACTTTTTGGGGAACGAGGCCACAGGAGCAACCTTGAAGGACTTCATGCAGCCCATGAGCTCTGTGCTGTCCATTTTTTTCCCTTACTGCTGTATCACCCACTATGCGATGAAAAGGACCCTATTTGCTACAAGTAACCAAATATGAAAGCATTTCTAAAACGTACTGGTCTCAGTTGTCGCTGTGTATCACCATCACTGTCCCTCAATCCTGACCTCACAGGCCTCTGATCTCCCCAGCCGTAGGCTTTTGTAACAACATAAAAGCTGTACAGTTTGATCAGACCAGAGTAGCCCTGAGTCCTCCCACTTTTCTGTTTCTGGCAGAAGCTGGCTGGGTGCCTCTGGAGAAACTCCTGGCAGAAGGAGGGAGCAGGAAAGCAAAACATTTCTCTTGTTTACCTCCATCTGAGGTCTAATTTGTTTTTCCAAGTATTGCCTATGTTCACTTATCTTGACCAGAATTGGGAAAAAAAATGGTTTTTTTTTTTGGACTACAACTCCCAGAGCCACAATTGTTGCCAGGATTCTGGGAATTGTGGTCCAACTAACTTTGCCAGGTCCAATAGTCATGGAGATAATCATATCCTCCTCGAAGAGGTCTAAGCCCCCTTTTGAAGGCAACACTTCATTTTGCAGCGACTTTAAAGAAAATACTAAAACCTGCAGTTATCAATTCTCTCCTCTTGTTGTCTGCTACAAGCTGGAGAAGTTTTTTCTTTCCTTCTGTGTTATTGAGATTGATAATCGGGATGCGCCCCAAATCTTGCAGCATTCATTGATCCTTCTTCCAGTTTTCAGGCACTCCATCGCAATCCTCCCCACTTCTTTCTCCCTCCCTGCCTCCGTCTTCCCATCTAGCTGGATAGCTCAGTGCTTTATGTACTGTATTTGGCTACAGAGCTGGAAGTTGGGAGTTCAATTCCCATGGTGTCTCCTGAAAGCAGAGCCAGCCTATGTGCCCTTGGGCAAGCTGCATTGTCCTACAGCAAGCTCAGAAGAAGGGAATGATAGACCACATCTTTGTATTCCATACCTAGAAAACCCAGGAAGGAATTGCCATAAGTTTCAATTGACTTGATGACATACAATTCTCTCTCTCTAACTTTTGTCCCATCTATTTTACCAGGCTTTCCATTTTCCCTTCACAACAGCCAGTCTGCAACGTTGGGTTATGTTGGCCCTCTCACTGAGGTCCCGTCTCAACAATTTTTTTTTCTACAAAGCTTGTGCTTTTGCAAGACAGATGATATCTTGGTGGGCTGCAGCTGCTTTGATTTTCCGACCTGGGTTGGCAGCTTGTGGCACTCCAGATGTTGCCTGGCTGCAAGTCTGATTATACTTATGCTACCTGCAGCTAGTGTGATACAGCAGTAAGAGAGGGATGTGGTGGCACTGCGGGTTAAACCCACAGATGCCTCTGTGCTGTAAGGTCTGTAGATCTTCAGCTGTAAGATCGAATCCACGCAACGGAATGAGCATCCGTCGGTTGTCCCACCTCCCGCCAACCTAGCAGTTCGAAAGCATGCAAATGCGAGTAGATCAATAGGGACCACCTCGGTGGGAAGGTAACAGAGTTCCGTGTCTAAGTTGCACTGGCCATGTGACCATGGAAGATTGTCTTCTGACAAAACGCTGGCTCTGTGGCTTGGAAATGGGGATGAGCACCGCCCCCTAGAGTCGAACACGACTGGACAAAAACTGTCAAGGGGAACCTTTACCTTTACCTACCTGCAGCTGACATGGGTTCATGATAATACAAATAAAGATTCTAGCAATCTTTTTTTTGGGAACCTTTACCTTTACCTACCTGCAGCTAACATGGGTTTATGATAATGCAAATAAAGATTCTAGCAATCTTTTTTTTTAAAAAGAGCCTACAGTCCAGCAGCACCCAGAGTGTCTTGGATTGCTCTACTCTGCTCTAACCACTATACTGCTTTGATCCAGAGAATAAAGATTCTTCAGGCAATGCATGTAAAGCCCTTCAAGTACTCCATGTTCTAAACCAAACAATCATAGAATCATAGAATAGTGAAGTTGGAAGGGGCCTATGAGGCCATCAAGTCTAACCCCCTGCTTGATGCAGGAATACAAATCCAAGGATATCCGCCAGGTGGTTATCTAAGTTTCTCTTGAAGGCCTCCAGTGTTGGAGGACTCGCCACCTCTTGAGGTAATCACTACATACTGTGGTCATTATTGTATTTGTTCTTGTTTGGTTGCTGTCCTTCCTTATTTTTCAGGTTGAATGCAACTGATCTTGGTCAGAAAAAAGCTGAATATGGAGGTTTCTCTACTTCAGGGAAGGTGACTCTGGTGGCGTCTTCTGCAGATCATGGGAAAAGGGTGGAATGCCATACATACAGTGCAGCCCTTTCTGAAGGCGTGAATACCTTCTACCAGCTTACTGTTCTATGTAAGTAAGAAATGTCCCACAGCACAGACCACAGTGGCCAACCAGGTAACCACCACCAAGAGCACCATGGAGGGGACATCCTGACGCCTCTGGGTAGCCCATAAGCAGGGTGGGCAGGGCTGTTTGTCTGCCGTGGAATCATAGTTCTCTTGAAGTGGAAGGGGTGTAGAAGCCCATTGAGTCCAACTGCCTGCTCAGTGCAGGAATCCAAATCAAAAGATATCTGTCAGGTGATTATCTAAGTCTTTCTTGAATGCCTCCAGGCCTGAAGCACTCACCAACTCCTGAGGTAACTGGTTCCACTGTCGTACTGCTCTAACAGTTAGGAAGTTTTTCCTGATATTCAACCGAAATCTGGCTTTCTTTAACTTGAGCCCATCATTGGGTGTCCTGAGCTCTGGGATGATGGAGAACAGATCCTGCCCCTCCTCTGTATGACAGCTTTTCAAATATTTGAAAAGTGCTCTTATATCACCCCTCAGTCTTCTTTTCTCAAGAAGTTCTTTCAGCCTTTCCTCATAAGGCTTGTTTTTCAGCCCCCTGATCATCCTTGTCACCCTCCTGTGAACTTGTTCCAATTTGCTAGCATCCCTCTTGAAGTGTGGTGTCCCAAAGTGGACACAGAACTCAAGGTGAGCCCTCAAAAGTGCTGAATAGAGGGGGACTAGTATCCATCCATATTTCCCTCGGCCACTTTGAAGATGGCAGTTAAGTTCTGAGAGAACAGGGAAGAAGACTGAGCAGAGAGAGGTGATGCTATCATCTCTCCTAGTAAAAAAAACTCCTCCATTCCTACCCTGTGAAGCCTGGTTCCATTATACACTTGATCTTAGCCAAAAGGCCAAGAAGCTCTTTATTGCCCCACAATAAAGTCACCCATGGCTGCCTGGAGCTGGATGGGCTTCGCTGGGGAATGCTTCCCTCTGACAGTCTTTGGTTCCTTCTCTTATACAGTTCCCCCAGAATTCTCCAGTGAGCAACCCCATGTGGTGCAAACAGTGGAGCATGGATCTGTCCTGCTGCCTCTGCTGGTCTCTGCCAGCCCTTCAGAGATCACCTATCGCTGGACTTTCCTCGGAGAACTGCTCTTGGCAGGTGAGTCTCATAATATGCAACAGTTGCCCAATGAGAATACAAGGACTGGACTTGGGTTAAAGGAAGGCATGGAATAGGTCCAGAGATAGAGCATAGTGGATAGGGCATCATCATCATTATCACCACCATCATCTTTATTTTATTTTATCATCATCGTGTCCTGGTTTTTATAGATCAGCAACAAAGAATGTTCTGACTCATGTAAGATCTGAAGGGCGCTTTGGAGAGCTGTCAGTGGAACAGGAAAAACGAAGGTCATAGGCAAGGAGATATGAAGATATTTTAAGATGTAAATCCTTGCATGAGAACAAAAAAAAAAACTGAAAAATTGTTGTCCTTGACTGTGAGAAATCTTTTTTTTCTTTTTGCTCTCAATTAGAGTTTTTGCGTATGTAAGAATGTTTAATGCAAATGGTGATAACTGCTATCCTGTTGCATGGGCTGGTAAAAGTAGTAGCAGGGGATGGGTTGTTTGTCTCTTGGTGATCAATCAACCTATTCTTTTAATTTTGCTGTGTGTAAAGGCATTTGTTTTGTGCAGGGACACCTTGCACAAAATTCATAAAAGTCAACTCCCCTCACAACATTCCCTCTAATTTTCCAGAGTGCTGAGCAGAGCATCCACCCCCTGTGAATAGGATTCCGGATGCGACCAGAAGCAAATGGGTGGGAACACAGATTGTCTGTGCATGCCCGTGTGCCTTAGAGATAACATTGCCCCCTTCAGTTGCTTAGTGTAGTAAGTCACAATGAGGGTAGGCCCATTGAATTGGTAGAAATAATAGAAGATTTTATTTACAGTGGTGCGTCGCTTAACGACGAATCCGCATAGCTTTGATACACCCTAAATTGAGAACAGCTGGAATTTTAATAAATCTTTGCTTCATCTCTACTTAAAACTGTTTTCCTCCATTTCTGGCACAGAGGGATCCCCACGGTACCACCTTGGAGATGGTGGCTCTCTGGAGATTTGGAATGTGACCCGGGCTGATGCTGGGAAGTACACAATCCATTGTGAGAATGCAGAGGGGCAGAATGAGACAACGATCTGGTTGGATGTTCATTGTGAGTATCAGACAGGCAAAAGATCTCAAGCTTTACTGGAGGCAGCAACAAAAAACATCTCAAAGAAAAGGAAATGCAAGAAAGCAATGTGGCTGTCGAACGAGGCCTTACAAATAGCAGAGAAGGAAAACAAAAGGCAAGGGAGATAGAGAAAGTTACAGAAAATTGAATGCTGACTTCCAAAGAATAGCAAGGAGAGACAGGAGGACCTTCTTAAATGAACAGTGCAAAGAAACAGAGGGAAATAATAGAAAGGGAAAAACCAGAGATCTGTTCAAGAAAATTGGAGATATTAAAGGAACATTTTGTGCAAAGATGGACATGATAAAGGACAAAAATGGTAGGGACCTCACAAAAGCAGAAGACATGGCAAGAGGTGGCAAGAATACAGAGAGGAATTATACCAGAAAGATCTGGATGTCCTGGACAACCCAGATATTGTGGTTGCTGACCTTGAGCCAGATATCCTGGAGAGTGAAGTCAAGTGGGCCTTAGAAAGCACCACTAACAACAAGGCCAGTGGAGGTGATGGCATTCCAGTTGAACTATTTAAAATCTTAAAAGATGACGCTGTTAAGGTGCTACACTAGTCTACATCCCAGTCCCAAAGAAGGGCAGTGCCAAAGAATGCTCCAACTACCACACAATTGCACTCATTTTACACACTAGCAAGGTTATGCTCAAAATCCTACAAGGTAGGCTTCAGTAGTATGTGGACCGGGAACTCCCAGAGGTACAAGTTGGATTTCGAAGGGGCAGAGGAACTAGAGACCAAATTGCTAACATGCGCTGGATTATGGAGAAAGCCAGAGAATTCCAGAAAAATATCTACTTCTGCTTCATTGACTATGCAAAAGCCTTTGACTGTGTGGACCACAGCAAACTATGGCAAGTCCTTAAAGAAATGGGAGTGCCTGAACCATCTTGTGTATCTCCTGAGAAATCTATATGTGGGACAGGAAGCAACAGTTAGAACTAGATATGGAAACACTGATTGGTTCAAAATTGGGAAAGGAGTATGACAAGGCTGTCTTCATGCTAATTTAACTTATATGCAGAATACATGATGCGAAAGGCTGGACTGGATGAATCCCTAACCGGAATTAAGATTGCCAGAAGAAATATCAGCAGCCTCAGATATGCAGATGATACCACTCTGATGGCAGAAAGTGAGGAGCAATTAAAGAACCTCTTAAAGAGGTTGAAAGAGGAGAGCACAAATATTGGTCTGACGGTCAACATAAAAGATCATGGGCACTGGTCTCATCACCTCCTGGCAAATAGAAGGGGAAGATATGAAGGCGGTGACAGATATTACTTTCTTGGGCTCCATGATCACTGCAGATGATGACAGCAGCCATGAAATTAAAATACGCCTGCTTTTTGCAAGGAAAGCAATGACAAACCTAGACAGCATCTTCAAAAGCAGAGACATCACCTCCCGACAAAAGTCTGTATAGTCAAAGCTATCGTTTTTTCAGTAGCCATGTATGGAAGTGAGAGCTGGACCATAAAGAAGGCTAACTGCTGAAGAATTGATGCTTTTGAATTGTGGTGCTGGAGGAGGCTCTTGAGAGTCCCCTGCACTGCTAGGAAAACAAACCTATCCATTTTGAAGGAAAACAACCCTGAGTGCTCACTGGAAGGACAGATCCTGAAGCTGAGGCTCCAATACTTTGGCCATCTCATGAGAAGAGGAGACTCCCTGGAAAATACCCTGATGTTGGCAAAGTGTGAAGGCAAGAGGAGAAGGGGATGACAGAGGACGAGATGGTTGGACAGTGTCGCTGAAGCAACCAAAATGAATTTGACAAACTCCAAGAGGCAGTGGAGGACAGGAGGGCCTGGTCCATGGGGGCATGAAGAGTCGGACACAACTTAATAACTAAACAACAAACAACAACTACAACAGGCTTCCCAACATCTAGAACAGTGGTTCCCAACCTTGGGTAATCCGGGTGTTCTTGAAGTGCAACTTCCAGAAGCCTTCGCCACTAACTCTGCTGTCCGGGGTTTCTGGGAGTTGTGATCCAAGAACACTTGGGTTATGCAAGGTTGGGAACCACAGGTCTAGAGAACTACAGTTGCCTTCTTTCATTGGAGGATGTTCTGTCCTAGCCTTTCTTCCAGAGAGGATCTTTCTGAGATACAGTACTTTGGAGTAACAGACTCGGCATAGCCCATGGCCAGGGATAATAGAAATTGTAGTGTAGAACACCTGGAACAACCTAGGTTGGGAGGATGGTCTAAACTGGCATTTTCTGATATGGGGCCCTCTGTGGTGATTTGGACTACAATTCTATCAGCCCAAGGTTACATGGTCAATGGCAAGGGATTATGGGAGTTGTAATCCAAAATATGCAAGTGCATCCAGGTTGGGGGAGAAGTATCCATTTATTTCTATCCCTCTCAAAATTCTAATTTTTATTCTAGGCTTGCTCTAAAGCACAGCATGCTGCTTATATACTGCCCCATAGTGTTTAAAGTTCTCTCTGGGTGGTTTACAATGTAATTATGCAGGCTACAATCCCACCTGCCCCATGAGCTGTGTAATTAGCTTACCAAGGGTGGAATTCTGCCTCAACTTCGAGCCAGCTACCTAAGATGGAGATCGAACTCGGATCATGAGCAGAGTTTTCAGTGCAGTTTAACCACTGCGCCCTGAGGCTCCTCTACCACAGGGCTCTGCTCTACCCCTCCCACCCCCTTGATATCGAGCACAACTTTCATGCAGGCTGGCCTGTATTTAGCATTATTCTTTATCATGGTATTGGTAACTGTCCTTTGAAGCTGCACCAGGACTGAAGCTGGTCTGGTGTGTAACACGTCCCTTTCCTCTGCACAGATTCTCCATCCATCCGCAGCATTGGCGACCCAACCTACGTGGATTTGGGAGGCACAGCGGAGATTGTATGCCAGGCTGATGCCAACCCTACACTCTCAAGCATGTTCCAGTGGAGGTGGCTGGTATGGTGCTGGACTCACCTGGAATGAGACAGAGAAATCTATCTATGGTAGCTTAGTAGTGGCAGCAAGACAGAGACATGCCTTGTACCTAAAATCAGTTTTATGCACCTTGCCTCCTGCCCTTCCTCAGTGAATCGGATGTAATGTGGCCATGCAAAGTGAGATGACCTTTCCTTGAAGCTTTTGTATTGGTTAACACCAGCAGAAAATGTATTTAACGGGCACTGGCAGCTAGAAAATGTCTCCTTTAATGGCTTTTAATGGCAGTAGCTGTTAGCTACCAGATATATTTTATGTCGTTGGGTGAGCTGGAGAAGAAGGACGAACACAACAACAGCAAAAGACCCCCCCACCCACACAAATGTGCTGGTGAACTTGCCAAAAGTCAAAGCTGCAAGTACACAATGGTTGAAATCCTGTTGCTTGGTGTAGAAAGTCACAACTAGAGCAGGCTTGTTGAATCAGGCTTCCTTCCTTCCTTCCTTCCTTCCTTCCTTCCTTCCTTCCTTCCTTCCTTCCTTCTTTCTTTCTCCCTCCCTTCCTCCCTCCCTCCCTCCCTTCCTATCAGAAATTTCTAAGTGCCTTATTTTACGAAATGCAGAACTACAAGTTTTTTTTTTTTGAAGAATGTGAATTTTGAGAGGGGAAAATACATGTCAAATTACATGTTTAATAGGCACTTTTTAGGTGGTTCAAATTGAAACAAAACTGCATGGTAATGGGGAAATGTGATAGAACTGATTTATGAGCGACCGTGTGCAAATGTCAAAGTACAGCAATACCCCACCTTATTCCTCGTCCTTTTCAATGTCAACCAGTTGTTTGTGTTTGGGGGCCTCTAATGGTGGGAGGGGAAATCGCAGTTCTGCTTCCTGCAGAGAGGAGGTCCTGTAGCTGGTTGTTGTGAGGTCTTACTCCATATAAACACAGGATCCCTTCAAAGTGTGACAGCTCTGGGGGGGCTGGTGAGGCCTGCCTCTGCCTGAAGACGTGATATGGGCCACACTAATTCCAGAGAATGTAAAAATGAGGGGGAAATAGGGCCACCTCTGATGTCTGGAATTCTAGTTCTAGTTGGCTGGCTGTGTGCGAAATCTTTAAGATTTTTGAGTTTTTACCCATTTGAGAGCAAAAATGACAGCTCTAAGAGGCTTTGTCAACTATATATTGTGGGCACACCCATTAAAACATTTCAAAATGACCCACCTTTCTGCACACATGCTCTAGACCTTGGGGGGGGAAGCACCCTTTTTTGGGGGGGAGGGTAACCATGGCCATAGGGGCTGGGGGATTCTGGGTGTTGGAGTCTTTCATAGAAGCAAATGTTCCCAGTTCTGTTCAGTGTTGTCTTTGCATCTCATGCACAGGGAGATGTGGAGCACAGCTTGGAAGAGCTGGGCATTGAACTGGTTTCGGAAGGGCAGATGAGTCGACTGCGTGTCCAGACTGCACTGCGAGCCCACGCTGGGCTTTATGAGTGCCAAGTAGACAACGGCATCTCCCCGGTGGCCAGAAGCAGCGCCCGTTTGATTGTGCGATGTAAGTGCCCTGCTGGCAGACAGCGCTTGGTACGTTTCTACCTATCATGAAGCCTCACTTTTAGCCTTCCATAATCAGCCGTACCTTTCCCAAGTCATCTCTGTCCCTCTCCACTCATTTCATTTTTTAACTCCGTAGAGGTGTCCCAAAAGTAGCTTGCTTGAAACACAAACACAAAGGCCAAAATCGGGCTTGTATTTATGGTGAGCATAGCTCCCTGTTGCACGCATGCTTCTTTTTTTTGTTCCGGTGTCTGTGTAAGGGGGTGTGCAGCATGAGTTGGGATAGCATGGAATGGTAGTTAATTATATATATTTTTAAATGATGGTTTCTTTCCAGACTCACCAGAGATCATCAAAGGCCCCGGGCAGAGGAAAGTGGCAGCTACAGGGGATGGAAAAAGCCAGGCCTCACTGCAGTGCAGTGCTCAAGGCGTGCCAAATGTAAAGCTCAGCTGGGCCAAGAATGGAGTCTCCCTTGATCTCAACAGTCCCAGGTGAGCAGAAAGCCTGAGCGTCACTATCCTGGAATGGTTGGAAGACCACTTGAGCTCTCACACATCCTTTAGTTCCTGTTTAGTACCTGGCAACAGATGACGATGGTAAGCAATGTGGCATGGCGGGATGGTTGGAGCGTTAGAGAGACCCGGGTTCCGATCCTTACTTGGCCACAATGCTTACTTAAGTGGCCTTGGGCAGATCCCTCTCTTTCAAATTCTCCTAACTCACAAGATTGTAGTAAGGATGAAAATGGGGAAGAGGACTGTTTGTGCTGTCTGTAGGAAAGATGAGATATTCATGATAATGGTGATGATGATGATGGAGAAGAAGAAA